GTATAGGACATAGACGTGTATACTGGACACAAGAGGTGGTGAACAGAAGTATAGGAATTGTATATAAAGGTGTGTACAGTACACTTGCGCCGGTAAACATAGGTATAGGACAAAGACGTGTATACAGGACACTAGAGGTGGAGAAGAGAGGTATATGACATAGATGTGTATACTGCACACTAGAGGTGGTGAACAGGGGTATAGGACATAGACGTGTATACAGCACACTAGAGGTGGTGAACAGAGGTATAGGACATAGACGTGTATACAGCACACTAGAGGTGGAGAACAGAGGTATGGGACCCGTACATAGACGTACATATACTGCACATTAGAGTTGGTGAACAGTTTTAAAGGAAATTGACGTGTATACTGCACACTAGAAGTGGAGAACAGAGGTATAGGACATAGACGTGTATACAGCACACTAGAGGTGGAGAACAGAGGTATAGGACACAGACGTGTATACAGCACACTAGAGGTGGAGAACAGAAGTATAGGACATAGACGTGTTTACAGCACACTAGAGGTTGAGAACAGAGGTATAGGACCCGTACCAAGAGGCGTATACTGTACTCTAGAGGTGGGGAACGGAGATATAGGACATAGGCGTGTTTACTGCACATTTGAGGTGGTGAACAGAGGTATAGGACCCGTACCAAGAGGCGTATACTTTACACTAGAGGTGGAGAACGGAGATATAGGACATAGGCGTGTATACTGCACATTTGAGGTGGTGAACAGAGGTATAGGACCTGTACATAAAGGTGTGTACAGTACACTTGCGGTGGTAAACATAGGTATAGGACATAGACGTGTATACTGCACACTAGAGGTGGAGAAGAGAGGTATATGACATAGATGTGAATACAGCACACTAGCGGTGGTGAACAGGGGTATAAGACCTGTACAAAGACGTGTGTACAGCACATGAGGGGTGGTGAACAGAGGCATAGGACATAGACGTATATACAGCACACTAGAGGTGGAGAACAGAGATATAGTACCTGAACATTGAGGCGTATACTGTACACTTGAGGTGGGGAACTGAGGCATAGGACATAGACGTGTATACTGCACACTAGAGGTGGTGAACAGAAGTAAAGTACACAGACGTGTATACTGCACACTAGAGGTGGTGAACAGAGGTGTAGGACCTGTACATAGAGGTGTATACAGCACACTAGCAGTGGTGAACGGAGGTAGAGGAATTTTACATAAAGGTGTATACAGCACACAAGCGGTGGAAAACATAGGTATAGGACATAGACGTGTATACTGCACACTAGCTTTGGAGAACAGAGGTATAGGACATAGACGTGTATACTGCACAATAGCGGTGGAGAACAGGGGTATAGGACATAGACGTGTCTACAGCACACTAGAGGTGGAGAACAGAGATATAGGACATGAACATTGAGGCGTGTACTGTACACTAGAGGTGGAGAACAGAGGTATAGGACACAGACGTGCGTACTGCACATTAGAGGTGGTGAACATAGGTGTAGGACCCGAACATAGACGTGTATACTGCACACTAAAGGTGGTGAACAGAATTATAGGACCCGTACATTGAGGCGTATACTGCACATTAGAGTTGGTGAACAGTAGTATAGGACACAGACGTGTATACAGCACACTTGAGGTGGTGAACAGAATTATAGGACACAGACGTGTATAAAGCACACTAGAGGTGGTGAACAGAATTATAGGACCCGTACATTGAGGCGTATACTGCACATTAGAGTTGGTGAACAGAGGTATAGGACATAGACGTGTATACAGCACACTATAGGTGGAGAACAGAGATATAGTACCTGAACATTGAGGCGTATACTGTACACTTGAGGTGGGGTACTGAGGCATAGGACATAGACGTGTATACTGCACACTAGAGGTGGTGAACAGAAGTATAGTACACAGACGTGTATACTGCACACTAGAGGTGGTGAACAGAGGTGTAGGACCTATACATAGAGGTGTATACAGCACACTAGCAGTGGTGAACGGAGGTAGAGGAATTTTACATAAAGGTGTATACAGCACACAAGCGGTGGAAAACATAGGTATAGGACATAGACGTGTATACTGCACACTAGCGGTGGAGAACAGAGGTATAGGACATAGACGTGTATACTGCACACTAGCGGTGGAGAACAGGGGTATAGGACATAGACGTGTATACTGCACAATAGCGGTGGAGAACAGAGGTATAGGACATAGACGTGTATACTGCACAATAGCGGTGGAGAACAGAGGTATAGGACATAGACGTGTATACTGCACAATAGCGGTGGAGAACAGGGGTATAGGACATAGACGTGTCTACAGCACACTAGAGGTGGAGAACAGAGATATAGGACATGAACATTGAGGCGTGTACTGTACACTAGAGGTGGAGAACAGAGGTATAGGACACAGACGTGCGTACTGCACATTAGAGCTGGTGAACATAGGTGTAGGACCCGAACATAGACGTGTATACTGCACACTAAAGGTGGTGAACAGAATTATAGGACCCGTACATTGAGGCGTATACTGTACACGAGAGGTGGAGAACAGAGGTATAGGACACAGACGTGTATGCAGCACACTTGAGGTGGTGAACAGAGGTATAGGACACAGACGTGTATAAAGCACACTAGAGGTGGTGAACAGAATTATAGGACCCGTACATTGAGGCGTATACTGCACATTAGAGTTGGTGAACAGAGGTATAGGACATAGACGTGTATACTGCACACTTGAGGTGGTGAACAGAGGTATAGGACACAGACGTGCGTACTGCACATTAGAGGTGGTGAACATAGGTGTAGGTCCCGAACATAGACGTGTATACTGCACACTAAAGGTGGTGAACAGAATTATAGGACCCGTACATTGAGGCGTATACTGTACACGAGAGGTGGAGAACAGAGGTATAGGACACAGACGTGTATACAGCACACTAGAGGTGGTGAACAGAATTATAGGACCCGTACATTGAGGCGTATACTGCACATTAGAGTTGGTGAACAGAGGTATAGTACATAGACGTGTATACTGCACACTTGAGGTGGTGAACAGAGGTTTAGGACACAGACGTGTATACAGCACACTAGAGATGGTGAACAGAGATATAGGACATAGATGTGTATACTGTACACAAGAGGTGGAGAACAGAGGTATAGGACATAGATGTGTATACTGCACACTAGAGGTGGAGAACAGAGCTATAGGACATAGAGGTGTATACAGCACACTAGAGGTGGAGAACGGAGATATAGGACATAGAGGTGTATACTGCACACTGGAGGTGGAGAACAGAGATATAGGACATAGAGGTGTATACTGCACACTAGAGGTGGAGAACAGAGGAACAGGACATAGACGTGTATACAGCACACTAGGGGTGGTAAACAGATATAGGACCTGTACATAGAGGTGTATACTCGACATTAGAGGTGGTGAACAATGGTATAGCACCTGGACAGAAGGGTGTATACTGCACACTAGAGGTAGTGAACAGAGGTATAGCACCTGTACATATAGGTGTATACAGCACACTAGGGTTGGTGAACAGAGGTATAGGACCTGTACATAGAGGTGTATACTCGACATTAGAGGTGGTAAACAATGGTATAGCACCTGGCCAGAATGGTGTATACTGCACACTAGAGGTGGTGAACAGAGGTATAGGACCTGGCCATAGAGGTGTATACAGCACACTAGAGGTGGTGAACAGAGGTATAGGACCTGGCCATAGAGGTGTATACAGCACACTAGAGGTGGTGAACAATGGTATAGGACCTGGTCATAGAGGTGTATGCAGCACACTAGAGGTGGTGAACAGAGGTATAGGACCTGGCCATAGAGGTGTATACAGCACACTAGAGGTGGTGAACAGAGGTATAGGACCTGGCCATAGAGGTGTATACAACACACTAGAGGTGGTGAACAGAGGTATAGGACCTGGCCATAGAGGTGTATACAGCACACTAGAGGTGGTGAACAGAGGTATAGGACCTGGCCATAGAGGTGTATGCAGCACCCTAGGAATGGTGAACAGAGGTTTACCACCGATAGAGGTGTTTACAGAACACTAGGGGTGGTGAACAGAAGTCATACCACTTTACATAGAGGCTTATACAGCACACAGGGGGTGCTGAATAGAGGTACAGTACCTGCCTATAGAGGTGTATACAGCACACTAGAGGTGGTGAACAGAGGTATAGGACCTGTTCATAGAGGTGTATACAGCACACTAGAGGTGGTGAACAGAGGTATAGGACCTGTTCATAGAGGTGTATGCAGCACCCTAGGAATGGTGAACAGAGGTTTACCACCGTTACAGGTGTTTACAGAACACTAGGGGTGGTGAACAGAAGTCATACCACTTTACATAGAGGCTTATACAGCACACAGGGGGTGCTGAATAGAGGTATAGGACCTGTGAAAAGGTGTGAATAATGCACACTAGGAATAGTGCTCACCAGTTCAGGACCTGAACCCATCGACGTATAATGCACTCTAGGGATTGTTGGCACCATTATGGGACCTTAATATGTTTTCAACACTGTCAAGTAATCATTTAATTTTTCCCTATTACCCTATTAAAGTTCTTTTTTATAAAGGTATTTATGAGGTCATAACGTATTTTACAACAGGTGTGTGTTACGTGTAATAATAACAGCAACTAAATCAGAAGGCTATTTTCTTCAATAATTGTAAGATGTTCCACTACCCCATTCTCCTGTGTATTGTTTCTATATAGACCCTCCAAGGTCATCCGTCTCCATAATTACATTTACTGTCGAGAGTCTAAGAGAATATACTAAAAGACCTCACGCCTAATTACAACTGTCCGTCGCACAACGCTGATAGGGGCTGACCCCACTGACAGTAATGGTAGTCTGTGCCACAAGTTCTGAATAGATTATAGTTCTGTCTTCTGCTGCTATATTTACTAAGATTGTGGCCCGTGGTAGAATACTGCATCGGAAACAAAACATGACATCAGCTTGACTTACCATTTACTTACTATATATATGTATATATAATATATCATCCGAGAGGTTTCGTTCACAGAGAAACGACACAATATTGACAGTGAACATAAGTATCAGTTTTGTTTCCAGAGAACCTTTCTCCTTTCGATTTCAATTCCAACTTGTCACTCACAATGTATCCAGTTCAAATCCAGGTTGATGGAATCGATGAATGTACTATCCGAAAGAATCCCCCAATCTTCCTGCTTATCTACTGCCTTGAAGATGCCGCCTCGCACATTGGACCCATGTGGACAGGCTTCACGAATGAACGAACGAACGAATAGGGGATGAGGGAGAGATTTATGCAGTTGACATCGCGTTCAAGCTTTCATAATCCAAAGTTAAATCACACACATATTTATACCTTGTTTGAATGATGTGGACTTCACAAATGAATGTTTTGACGTCGGCATCTTGAGTATGACATTGCTCGGTGTCACTGATTATGACGTCTCAAGAAACAATGAACAATGGACACAATAACGTTTGTTAGAATATCTAGGTCAAGCACAATATATGAAATATTTTCATGAAAGGTCACACGTCATTGACATCGTAGGCCCATGTTCAGTATTACATGGGCCAGCTCATGTTCACACAGCGATCACTGTGGTGACATTGTCAAGTCTGTGACTTATTCCAATAGAATCACAGATTATTCACGTTCTGGTACCTCATCTTTTACCACATTACGTCATACCTCTATCTGTTATATGTGAAGGTGGATATATAATTATGATTTTGTTGTAATCTTGGTATTTCAAACTTGTGCCAGAACACCGTTGCCGTCTCCTGCATACTACAATTATATACGATTCGGAACAATGATAGCTTCTTTCAATCTAAGCTGAGATTTTTGTCGACGGAAAAGAATTTTTTCTTGCTAAATATTTGCTATATTGTGATTGGAATTTCAAGAGGTTTTGGAGACGAACTAAAAATTGAATCACATCTCTCGCTCGAAGCACGGTAATAAAGGAGTATTATGAGATTGATTGGCGCATGTTCGCTCAAACTTTCTATAGGGCATCCGTTCGCTGCATGTCTCCTCCCCAATCCCTCTCACGGGCACGGAACTTCTGCCGCCATGTCTGATGCCACATAACTCGATAACAGATTGACAAAATAGCTGTGACAGTTAATTAAATCTTCTGTTGAACATTCTATACATCCAAGTCTGCATAATGCACAAATATAATGACACCAGTCACACCTTGGTCATCTATTGATTTCTGCAATGTGGAACGTCGCTGTTGTTTAAACATTCAAATCAGGCTGTTTGGGGGACAGTAGTTTTTTAAAACACCACGGACTTGTCTTCTCCGGTTTCCATAAGTTCTAGTTCCCCTTGCTTGATGCCTTCAGATAAATTGCTTTTTATATATTCAAAAACATGACGCCATGCCAACTCAGTCTCCTGTGTGAATTGGTCCCCAAGCTTCACCTTAAACGCGTCTCTGATAGCAGGCCACAGGAACTGCAAAACAAAAAAAGCATTTATGGACGTCCTTCGAAGGAACTAATCCGAACTAAATAAGATGAATACTTTTCTCAAAGAAGACTATTAGAGAAAAGCACATGTGCATGCTTCTATAATTGTGAACTGCAATACAAAGAAAACGAAACTTAATAGTAGCATGGTTTTAGGCTGTGAGGAGCATGAGAATGTCACTGATGGGGTTATGCAGCTGTCAGCAGAATTGAAATGAATTCGACTATCCTCACAATTTCTTCTTGTCAATTCTCTCGGTAAGTGTTTGAGAATTCGTTCTTACTCTTTTGTTGAATTAGGAAATAATTTTCTTATCGAAAAAGGACACAAAAATCCACCGAGAAAGAAACCTATTTGAAATTACTCTGGCATTTTTCCGAGAAGGCAGTTCGATTAGTTTCACAGCGTTATTTATTTTCTGGTAAGGTTTGATTGATGCGTTGAAAGAGTTCTAAAATATTTGTTTTTCTTTATAAATCATTTGTCTATTAGTGGTATATTTGTTATTTCGCTAAACCTGTCGTGGCGTTTACCTGTTATGTTTACCTTTATCAGACACATCTTAGGTGTCAAGTAGTGATATTGTAAGGATATTACATTACAGGTAGATTTGAAGACGCAATATACACTAAGGCTGTTTTATTAATGCTGTGAGTGAGTGATTTGGGTTTAACGCCGCTTTTAACAGTATTCCAGTTATATGGCGGCGTGTCAGGAAAGCCCGAAGTGATGCAGGTCTCAGACGTTTACCACTTCGTGAAACGCACGAGCACGGGTGTGGTGCTGACAAACATATTCAGTATTCGAACCCACAATCATATGTTTCTGGCGTGCCCAAGGGACGCAGATCTGCACATCGAATCGCGGCGCCTTAGACGACTGCGCCACCCGTGCCCTTTATTAATGATGTGAATTAGAGTGTTTGGTTCAACGCCGCTTTGAACAGTTTTTCAGTTACAGCACCCTGAATCCCGAAATGATGCAGGTTTTCCACTTTGCTGAAATCCACGAGCACGGATATGGTGCTTAGAAACCAGGAAGCATATTCAGACGAATCGGGATTCGAACCCACAATAGGTTTCTCTTACGCCTAAGGGACGTAACTTTACACAACGCAGACTGGGACACCAAGGTACCTCAACCGACACAGAGACCACGTGACTGTTAACATATCATAACAGAACATTCCCAATTGGTATCTGAGCTTCATTTAATGATATAAAGTTTATATAAAGTACCAAAACACCGGAACAGGGTCTCAGCGGTTTAGTATCATGCGCCATCAGGGCGAGTATCAGATTTGAACCCACGGCCATCGGTTTCTGGCACACTCGAGGGACATCTGCACAGCGAATTGTGACAGCTGGGCCATCCGTGACTCCCTATCAGTGATGTGAGAGGTGAGTTTGGCAGTTTTGAGCAGTATATCAGCATGGAAGGAAAACATGGAAGAGAAACCCAAAGGAATGGAGGTCGTAGGCGTTTACCATGTTCATGACATCCACGGATATGTGTATATTATTAACAGACCAAAGAACAGACCAAAGGACACTATCGGGGCGATGCTGGAATTCCTCATTGCTTCCAAATATTCAATTATATCTCTGAAAATAGGAGCCAAATTCTTCTACATCGTCATTTATTCAGAACATCCGTCGAACAATTTGTTTCAGAAATCCTGAGGCAATTTCTTTTTCCAGTATTAATTTTACTACCGCAAACATATGCACTATCATATACCGCATCTAGGAAGGTTATATATTATATAACATATAAGAAGTCGTTATTATTTAACGCAATTTATTCAACCCTGCGTTTTACTGTTCTAGACGAATGGATGCTAATGGCTTGGTGTTATTGTAATTAAATATTCATCTAGGTTTAAAGTGGAATGATTGAGGCGATGGGTCGAGGTGGAGGCTTGAATGGCCTTACGCACCAAGTACGGTAGCACTGGGTGCAATCTCATTATTACAAGCCACATGAGAAACTGGCACCTCAGGTAATGGACGATAATGTCCTGATTTTCAGGATCTATCAAGCTTCCCTTATATCAAAAGAAAGTAAAGTGCAAAGTTGCTGTCTGTACATCGATGATTATAGGCCAAACATACACACGACTTAACCGACTATACTCTGTAATTGTAAAGAAGAAGATTGGTCTGTTAGTTCATCTGACATTCATTTAGGGAGCAACCATTTCATTTACGGGGGTGAGGGTGTGGTGCGGGATTTGGTTTGACATCAGTATTTAATTAGAAGCTCAATTATTTTTCCAACATAAATAAGTGGTTTTTTCCCTACAACGCGAGGAGTATGTAATTTTCATCAGTAAAACAGGGGCTTGGTTATTTTCTTATAGAAAACATCCCCACTAATACACACACTCAATCAAATGGATGCTCTCTAAGATTTGGGGGATGTTTTTGTCATTTGCACGGCCACAAATACAGCAGACAACAGACATATCTGCGCATGTGAATACGCCACTTGTGAGTGAGTGATTTCATTTTAACGCTGATTTGAAAGTATTCCAGTTACGTCAAAATGCATTACCTCCAATTTGGGGTTAATATAGGATTCCAACCACCATGTGAACGTGTTTTTTTCAACTTGTTTATCCTCGGTCAAACAACAATCTCAAAAGCAATATGCAATTAGTTTGAACGTTTGTTTGTTGTTTAACGCCGCACTCAGCAATATTCCAGCTATATGACGGCGGTCTGTAAATGATCGAGTCTGGACCAGACAATCCAATGATTGACATCATGAGCATCGATCCACGCAATTGGGATGAACCAAGTCAGCGGGCCTGACCAACTGACGTTATTCCACGTGTGCGCTATTGCACGTGCGTGATGTACGTATCGTGTATTTACGCGCACATCAGGCTTCTCACGTATTCCACGTGCACTTCATGCTTATGGCAATTGCCTTGCACAACATGCTTATCATGTATTCCACGTGCACTTCAAGCGCCATGGTCTGATCTACACGGATGCAACCACACTTCAAGTTGAGCCAAGAGGGCTGCGTTTGCTTAAATAATATATACTTAATTAGTATGCATCACACCAAACGGGACCATCTAGACATTTAAAACACAACCACGTACAGAAATCATTTCCCCTTTCACGTTGTAGGCCGCGTGTTTCTCTCCCAGCGCCACCAGCATACCGCTCAAGCTTGAGGAATCATCCAGGCTGTCAACTGCAGCCCCTAAACTGTTCATAACGATCCTGGCGTGGCCCCGAAGCCTATCGTCGTCAAAAATAAAGTTGCCTGATTCTGAATTTGACAATAGCCTCTTAAACAGTTTCTTCATTTCCTGCTGCTGTTCGAAGAATCTGAAAACATAAAAAAGGTATAAGCTTTTAATCACACGTCATGTGCACCTGTCTATTCCGTTCAGTACAATATCGTGTTAGGACATCAAGGATAAGCTTTACTCTTTTTGCAAACACCTCGTATCATCACTGATTTTCGGTAATATTATATGGCCTTTTACGCCCAAAGGAAAATGTTACGGCAAATAATCGAGATTGATTATATCTTGCGTTGAACACGTTTTAATTTTAATAAGCTTATAGTATTCATGTATTTTTTCAACTTACATCTACAAATGAACTATTGTCCTTTCGAATCATGTGACCTTGCTCGCGTGAACATATAATGACCTATATTTATGCAAGACCAACATAAGTACATACAATGTGTCGATATAAAAAGAAAATCGGTAAGCCAGATTATGTGTATATTCTATCCTGCGAGAGGCCTCGTGTGCCAAATATTGTCCGCCATCTTAGCTGATCAGACAGCGCCTTTGTACTTAATGGCTCACAAAACCTATATCGCCAATAAAATTTGCAAATATGTAAAGACTATTCATCGACATACTTGGAGCTGGAATAAAATACCTCATCATATTATTCCTGAATTTTTATTCTGTGTACGTAAGCTTATATACCAATATATCTTTTGTCAGTTAAGACAGCTCTGTTTACATATTTTAATGTGTGGTCGGGTAGCCTAGTGGTTAAAGCGTCCGCTCGTCACGCCGAAGACCCGGGTTCGATTCCGGACATGGGCGCAATGTGTGAAGCCCGTTTCTGGTGTCCCCCGCCGTGATATTGCTGGAATATTGCTAAAAAGCGGCGTAAAACCATACTCACTCACACATTTAAAATAACCGTTGTGCAATGTAACACAAACATCATTGTACATTTGACTATTTTTGTGTAAGGATGCATATAGTCAGGCACTCTTTTCAATGCGGGTTTTTATTCCACCACATGGATTCTTCTCAGTTAGGCCGAAACAATAACATTGCTAGGTTATTCTTAACGCTTAACTAATATTCTTAGTCGCGGACCAAATTGATTTATCAAGATAAAAATGGCATCACATGGTGATTGTAAGAATGATTTAGTATTTGATGGATGAAATGTGTTGAAGACCCAATAGAACTAATCAATATGACAAAGCTGAATTCATCCTGTATAAAATGCATGGCTTCACTTTCATTATTTATTATGAACACGAAATTGACGTCATAGCGTTTCGGTTTGTGTATTATCCATATTAATGAAAAAACCGTGCTGTGTGTGCATGGTTATCAAAGACGGAAATACACAAAGTCATAACGAAACCTTGTGTAATTAAATTTTCGTCTATGTCAGTACATGTCTATCTTGGTCTAAGGCATCTTCCCGAGGCAAGGGCGTTAACTGACTATAAAAGTCCAGTTTCCACCCTTGCCGAACTAGGCTGGTATTATGGAGTTACATTTTGGCTGGACTAACGAGTCTTTGAACAGTCAATCAAAATCGCGCAACCAACTCGAAATCCGGTTCGTTAACTGTCGTGCAGATTTCGGTCGACTGCAGGGATTGCAAAGCATGTGGACCGCGAACTCGTTGTTAACAGATATTTTCCAAATCTTTTCATGTTTTTAATCAACTTGGTCACGTGGTTAGATGCATTTCGCGATGTAAGACCCGTTTTATCACAATATAGACCTTGATTATCGATCAGATCGTCTTGACAGGGCGCCGCTGTTGTTTGAAGCAAATGCAAGTGATACGAGAGGTGGAATCTGATTGGTCCACAGGAGAGGCTTAGAAGGGACATAGCTCGTAATAGCCACTGGTGGCGCTACGATCGAGCCTAGGTATTCCAGCCTAGTTCGGAAAGGGTGGAAACTTGACTTTTAAAATCAGTTATTTCTCTTGCCTCGGGAAGATGCCTTAGACCAAGATAGACAACAGAAACCTATGTTTCGTTGGTTCAAATTCTGGTTCTTTGTAAAGATGTGCCCCTTGTAATTTGATTGTGGGTTCGAATCCCACTTTGCCCCTACTATGTTTCTAGGTTTTTCAGCACCATACCTGTGCTCGTGGGCTTCACCAAAGGGATAAATCTGATACCTGCATCCTTAACATTAAGTCTACACGCCGTGATAAAACTTGAATGCCGTTAAAAGCGGCGTTAAATTAAACCCATTCACACTCTCCGCTTGACAAGAGTCTGCGCCTACTGCTATCTCCGAACTGACATTTACGTGCTACCCACGTGGAACTCTAATGTTACCATAACGAAAACAGTATGCATCAAATGTGGAAATTAACCAAAGTTTTATTGTAACAGGCGCACGCAACAGATACCTTCTCTGATTACGATGTACATACGCAAGGATAGGTTCACGTAGGTAACATAAATATTATCAAGCACGCAATCCAATATTCAATACGTAACGTGATATATATAATTACAATGTAGTGTATACATTTCATTATGGAATTCGGAATCAAATCAACCACCTACAGATGAGAAATACGAGTTTCTGCTAGTTATAGTCATCCTTGCGTGATGCCTGTTCCTGACTTCACGTTGCTACAGCAGCCAAAGCGGGCGACCTTTCCATTTATTGTGTATAGGAGAAACACCTCCGTGTTACACCGTGTTGTAGGACAACATTGGACGTGACCTTACTTCACGGAGGAGATTCATGCGGCGTCGGGCATCCGGCTAATTTCCACAACTGATCCATTGAAAACATCCATGTAACAACACTCTGCATCCAGGATGTGCCCCCGGGGCGATCTGGGGGATGGGCTTACACAATCAGGGATGAGACACCAGGTGAACATATTTCGGCGATAATCGGGAATGGCTATGTACTTTAACTGGGTCGATGTTCCTGCTGGTGGACTGAAGTTCCAAGTTTCATTATAAGCGCAGTAGCATTATCTATGCTGAGTCAACTACAAAAGAAATGGACCCGTGAAGATCCGGGTTAGAATTGGTCTTCAGCAACCCATGCTTGCCGTAAAAGGCAACTATGCTTGTCGTAAAAGGCGACTAACGGGATCGGGTGGTCAGGCTCGCTGACTTGGTTGATGCATGTCATCGATCCCAATTGCGTGGACCGATGCTCATGATATTAATCACTGGATTGTCTGGTCCAGACTCGATTATTTACAGACCGCCGTCATATAGCTGGAATAATGCTGAGTGCGGCGTTAAACAACAAACAAACAAAAGAAATGTCTGGTCGAGATGTTAACACTACCCCATTGTGTTGCAAAAGAAAAATATTTCTTAAACGTTTTTATTTATTTATAAGCAGCAGAATCACTGCATTTGTACACATTAGACGTAATTCAAACTTAACATGTGTTCAGTTTTAACAAGTAAATGCGCTATCGTGACAATGGATTTTCTGGTCAATCACTTGATTGTTCGGTTTGTTTACAGGCCGCCTTCTCATGGCAGGAGTACTGTTGTGCTGCGTCAGGCATGAATACTTAATTTTTTATGTATATTGTGTGAATGGCTGGTGCTACCGGTTGGGCAGGACATGAGAAGCCTTTACGCGAACACCTGGTGTTATCACTGAGGGTCAGTGACCCATTCATATAATTGTCACCGCTATTTCCCTTTACGCCCCGGTCGGGTAGCCTAGTGGTTAAAGCGTTCGCTCGTCACGCCGAAGACCCGGGTTCGATTCCCGACATGGGTACAATGTGTGAAGCCCATTTCTGGTGTCCCCCGCCGTGATATTGCTGGAATATTGCTAAAAGCGGCGTAAAACCATACTCACTCACTCACTCCCTTTACGCCCAATGGAAACGTGAAGATCCGGGGTAGAATAGGTCTTCAGCAACCCAGGCTTGCCGTAAAAGGCGACTATGCTTGTCGTAAGAGGTGACTAACGGGATCGGGTGGTCAGGCTCGCAGATTTGGTTGATGCATGTCGTCGATCCCAGTTGCGTGGATCGATGCTCATGATATTAATCACTGGATTGTCTGGTCCAGACTCGATTATTTACAGACCGCCGTCATATAGCTGGAATACTGCTGAGGGTGGCATTATACAACAAACAAACAAACAAACCCAGTGGGATGTTTCAGTTGATAACGAGACTGGTTATTAGCTGGTGTTGACGTTTCATGTTTAATATTTCGCAAAGATAACGCTGAAAGTTAAATTCTGGCGTTCACTTATCTGATGGGGCTGACGCAAACATATTGAAACCAATGGTAATCCCAAGAGTGAATTAAATATAAATCAGTTTTATGTTCTCTTGTCTTAATTTGAAACCTCGTGCTTAAGCGATAGGTTCCCAATTAGAAATAATAGGAATCAAATCAACAGTGAGAGGAGCTCTAATATCAAAAGACAGTAGATATATCTCCTAAATGCCAATACTCAATTAGTAAATGTGCCCTGTTGGGATTCATGGTCAGAATAGCTCCCAGTACCTCATGTTTGTTGAGACAGTCGACTCGAGTAGGGATTGGGTGATCAGGTTCTGTGGCTTGGGTGAGGGCGCGCCATGTAAAACTGATCCACCTCTGGACCCTACTCGATTCGGTACCGGCCGTATTGATAGCTAAAATATAGCTGACTACAGCGAACATCAAACCCATACGTTATTGTCCGACTGACAGACACACATATTCATATCCGTATACAGGCCACTGTCCGTCAATACAGTCATTGATGAATAATACTATTGTCAGCGCACTTCTTACCTTTTGTACTTTTTACAGATACATACAGGCGGTATATACCACACGATTTCAGATGACATGACTTCAATAAAAGAATGCAAAGATAATGATCTAACATATTTGGATCTATAAGTATTTCTAAGTGTTGCGGGGGCACGGGTGGCCCAGTCGTCTAAGGCGCCGCGATACGCTGTGCAGAGTTGCGTCCCTTGGGCACGCCAGAAACCTATGATTGTGGGTTCGAATCACGTTTCGCCCCGATTATGTTTCTAGCTTTGTCAGCACCATACCCGTGCTCGTGGGTTTCACCGAAGTGGTAAACGTCTGAGAC